TTAAGCCAATGGGTACTCACAAAATCCATAAAACCTCTCTCATTCTCTCATCCTCCCCACCCGTAGTCTCCCTTAAACTTGTAAGTCTTGGTACTTCTCAGGATCCACTCTGCAAATCATGTAGGATTTTAGATGGGTTTTCAATAGAGGCTGTCCTTCTGTCTCCACTGAAAAGATGTTCTAATCAAAACAATATTTGAGGGATTTATACGTTTATAACAATCTCAAAGGCATTATCTTTCCCCCACATATAGTTACCTTATTTTGGTATTTATTACATATTAAGTTTGTTTTATGATTTTATAATAAAATATCAATGGATATTTAAACTCTTCTAGAAATGCTCACTATCTGTGTTAGCTAAAACAGAAGCAGGCTAACAATAATAGTAATAACAATGACACCATAAATTTTTAGAATTCCTCTAAAACACCAATTTTATTTCTGTATGCAGGTCTTTAAACTTAATTATCTACCCTGCCTGGAATTCTCATGTCTTGTATCTTTATATGGCTGGCCTCTTCTCAACCTTCAGATCTATGAATAAATGTTCCATTTCTAGAGAAATCTCCCCTGATTATTTTATTAAACATAACACTCAACAGTCAGCCTCTGTCTGAGGACTTTATATCCTTCTATGCATTTAGCACTTTCTTAAACCACGTTATTTGTTAATTTGACCACCCACTGTTGATTATTTTTTTTCAAAAACTAGAACAATGGGCTAAGAGCAAGAACCCTGTCTGTAATGTTTACTTGGCACCTGAATCCCCTATTCATGATGCTTGAAAAATAGTATGCACTCAGTCAATATTTTAACATGTCACTGGATAAACTGAGGCAGTTAGGGATAAAGTCAATATGTGTTTATTACCATTTCATTATTTAGCAGACATTAGAGTTTATGATCCTGATGTCTCTAAAGTCATATTACCTTGGATCCTGACCCAATATCTACCATCTGTGTGGCCTTCAGTTTGCTAATGTCCAAATAGGAAAAAAAGAAACATTGCTGTATAGGATTACAGCAAACTCCAGCAAACTATTTATTGTGTGTGGCACAAGGAACTCAATATATGTTAATTATCTTGCTATTAATAGCAAAAAAATCAAATGATTTTATAGATCTATTAATATATAAAGAATTTCCTAGATTATCAGAAAAGTTAAAAACAAAAGAATTGAGATTATACCATTATTTTATTATTAACTAAAGACATTAGAAATAATACATTCTAAATTAACTATAAAAGGCAGAGCATATGTAGAAAAAGAAATCAATCTGTAATGCCCTTAAATTTCAGAAAACAAGAGAGGAAAAAAAAAAAACAACTGGGAATTCAGCCAACCATCTAAATACAACATTTTTCATCTACTTGTGAAATTACACTGTAAAAGCTCAGTAAAGAAAGCAAGATTATGCATATTCATATAATGCTTCAGTGAAGATGATAAATGAAACATGGCCACAAAATCATTCATTGAATATGACATGATTACATTTCTTTCTATCCTTACCTGACAACAATGATTACTATTTAAAATTCTTATATGTTTTTAGGAGAAAAAAGCCTAAATTTCTCAATGAAAGCAAGAACAGAAGATATCTTTTAAAAACTGTCAAATATTATATGATTTCAATGTGCTTCCCTATTTTTTAATTAAGAAAAACAGAATGAAACAGAAAGTTTTATAAGAAGGTGAGTGGTTATCCTGATTCCCTGAAGATTTCAGGAACTTGGCTTTGGCAATGCTTAACAATAAAAAACAAATTAGCATTTTTATATTCTGATGAGTTTTCCAAGCAAAAACTAGATAGTCTTTAAGAGAAGATTTTTTACCTTTTTGAGTAGTTCTTAAGCATAGACTAGCACTGCTTTCATGAATGCTCATACTTCTTTTGTTCAAAAAGCTTATTGTTAGTGTACTATATCAAAGTGATGGGGCTTTGATGATACATTGTAGTAATCAATCATCAAAAAGACAGCACTTTGATTATGCCAAATATTAAATACATCACCAAAATTCTCATCCTTTTGATAGCTATGTAAAACAACTCCTACTAGAAACTCCTTTCTGATTAAATTAGTTCTCCTTAACACTGGGCTTTCATTTTGTTTTTCCTAACAAGGACTTTGACAAGGTTTTATTGTATAATTAGAATTTTTTTTTCTATTTCTATGCCTGAATTGTAACTATTTTCTCTTTTTAAAATCGAGGTATAATTGACATATAACAGTATATTAGTTTCAGGTGTACAACATGATTCACTGTTTGTATACACAGCAAAATGATCCTCACAGTAAGTAGTTACTATCAGTCACCACACAAAGCTAAAACATTTTTTCTTATGGTAGGAAATTAAAGATTTACTCTCATGGCAACTTCCAAATATGCACTATGACAGTATTGACTAAGGTCACCTGTACATTACATCACCACAATCTATTTATTTCATAACTGGAAGTTTGTAACTCTTGAGTCCCTTCACCCATTTCACCCCCCTCAAATCACCTCCCTTCTGGCAACCATTCTGACCCCTGCATGAGTTTTGTTTTGTTTGTCTGTTTATTTTTTAGATTTCTTATATGAGTAAAATCATACCGTATATGTGTTATCTGGCTTATTTCACTTAGCATAATATCCTCCAGGTTCATCTATGTTGTCACAAATGGCAAGATTTCATTCTTTTTTTTGACTGAGTAGTATTCCGTTGTGTGTGTGTGCACGCGCGCATGTGCGTGCACACACACACATATAATACATCTTCTCACATGTTAAAGATATTAAATTTTTTCTCTCATTGCAATTTGTAAATAGTTACCCAGGGCCCATTAATATTATTAACAGTACAACCTATTTTAGGTAATATTCACATGTCTTTAACCATGCTTATATATACTATTATAAAGATTTGCTTATCTTATTTTTATATTTGTTATTGATTGTAAGAATGTTATTGATTTTTTGGCATATGTTAACTCGCTGTTTTATTGTATTTTCTTATTGCTTTCAATAATTTGTGAAGTGATTTTCATGGTTTCTGAGTATATAGGCTTTGCATCTATAACCTTTGACTATTCCTAAACATCAATTATTTGGTAATATTCAATTCCAGTAGAGCCTGATACCATGACACAATGAGACGCTGGGCAGTTCTTGGGGGAAGGGATGAGTGAATTTTGCTTGCCTGAAGGATGTGAATTTTGTTACCAGATGGTGAGGCTGTGGCAGATTACAGTTTCCCAAAATGACCAGAGTATCACATCTGTTTACACATGCTCTTCAGGACTTTGTCACTCCTTCATTCTTTGCATAGGAGAGGGACTCCAGTTCAGCCTTCACAAATGCAGTATTAGATAAATTACTCTAACTTCCAAGGTTAGATCATAAAAGGTAGCTTGGTTTTTACCTGGATCTTTCTCTCAAATGCTTTCCCTTTGACCTCCTGAGGAAGTTCAGCCTAGAAAGGCTACTAGTAGGTGTTCTGGCCAATAGTCACCAGTAAAATGTACATACAAGACAAAAATGTTCTGATTTAATGCTATTAGCCTTAAATTTTATTACATAATATTGTTTCTCTTTTTTATTTCTGTTCAAATGACATATGGTTTTTATCATTAGAAATATGGTGAGTTTTTTTTTTAATTTCATATGGCTCTCTTTCATAAAGCATAAATTAGATCTTAATTTTTGACACCATCTGAATATGTCTTTAATAGGAAACCTGAACTCACATTGACTGTGCTTGAGCTTCAATGCCTCATATAATTTAATAATATTATAAGAATTTCATGTCTAATTAAATTGATTGCTCTTGCTATATGAATTATATCATTCTGTTATTGATATTTTAAAGACATATAGACATTTCATTCTATTTTTAATTCTTCTGTAAGTTATATTCAACACAAATCAAAATATTTGGCCCTCTATTTCTCTAATCATTTTGTGAATATCTAAATAATACTTATTGACTCTCAACCCTATATAAAATGCAGTAATTACTTATCATTTGTTAACTGTTTATCAGAAGCCAGCCATGCTGCTAAGTATTTTATAAGTAGGTCTCTTGATCTGCATAAGAAGCTTATAAAATATGTATTATTTTTATTTGTATTTATCTTCAGAGAGATTAACTTGTCAAGGTCATACATGTGTTTAGTGAGAAAACCAGGATTCAAATTAAATGTGCCAAACTCCGAACTACAAGTTCTTAGCCACCATGTACTATTGTTATAAATTATTTTTCTCTGTCATGACCCAACTTCATTTGCTCCCTTGGAGAGTACCACGTCACACACCTAGACGAAGTTCAAACATCACTCCCCTCACCACAAACACAGAAACACAATATGAATTCCTCTCTGATTTCCCAAACATAGTTAATTGCTTCTTTTTTGTGCTTCCACATTAACTTGGTGCGTAAATCTGTGACTGTTCGTCATGATGTTTTGTAACTAGTGGTTGTCCCCCCTGCTTCTCTGACTACATGCTGAGTTGCACTTACTCTGCATTCTCAACATTTGCCAAGATCATTTGCCCATAATAGGTCTTGGGTGAGTCTGATCAAATGAGCAAATGAATGGCTGAATATCTTGTCTTCTATAACTGAATGGACATATCCAAGAGACGTCCTGAATATGCCTATCTTATAAAGTAAATGTGTTTTATCAGTGTTTAATGTATCTAATTAAAGGAAATCTAGATGGAACCAAATTAGTATCACTAATTAGTGAATGCAGATAGTATAGAGATGTCTCAATTTTTTCTGCGCTTGGGAAGTTGCTTTTGGCAACAGAATTGTGGAAAATATATTAGAATTTACCTAAGTAAAATGAAACACAGTTCCAGAACATTCTAATTACCATGCTATCAGGATCTCAGTGAATAAGGTTCTAGTGAAAGTAATAAATATTGGCAACAGGAAAGAAGAAGAAATGAGGTACTTAATTCTAAAACTTAAATGGAATTTTGAATTTCATTTCAATTCCACTCACCATTAACTGCAGAAAGGTTGACTCTTCCTGAAGAGATGGAGAAGGAAAGTCCCTGGGGACAGATGGGATAGTGCAGAGCTCTGGAGAGGGAGCAGCAGCCGTCTTCTATCAAAGTCTCCCTGTCAAAGACCATTTCCACTTAATACTACAGGCTTTGCTGCATCAGACCATAACACTTTAAATTATATTCATAGTGCTTATAATTATACGTTTACAGCTGACAGCACAAATGACTCAAAATGATTTTCACTGAAGTTACTATTTATTAAAACAGAACGCCTTATTAAAGAAATTAACCTTTGTAGAGAAATATGAACAAAGAGTAATTAAAGAATGACTCATTATTCACAAAACAGAAACAGAGTCACAGACGTAGAAAACAATCTTACGGTTACCAAAGGGGAAAGGTGGGGGAGGGATACATTAGGAGTCTGGGATTAACAGATACACACTACTATATATAAAAGAGATAAACAACAAGGACTGATTGTATAGCACAGGGAACTGCATTCAGTATCTTACAATAGCCTATAATGAAAAAGAATCTGAAAAAGAATATATATGTATGTATATGTTTATGTAGAACTGAATCACTCTGCTGTACCCCTGCAACTAAACCAACACTGTAAATGAGCTACACTTAAATTAAAAGAAAAATAACTACTCATTATTCCCATCAACTCCAAATACTACCCTGTTCAAAAGCAATCCAACTTCCACGCACTCTATACTCATTGGTAACAAGCGAAATTAGTTGTGCTTTAGTTCTTCATGTAGGTGATTAACTACTGAGAACAAGAACTGCATAGTCACATAGTTTACTCTGTTGAAATTAGAATTCAAAGTCATGAGGACAGAGGATCCTCAAACAGTTTAAAATAATTTAAAAAATACATTTAGCATATAGTCAATAAATCAACTGAAAGTTTCATATTTTTAACTTCCAACAAGTAATACTTTATATCATGATATAAATATATAAACTATACATAACAGCTTAATTGGCAAATAAAAAGTAGTCTTAGATATTTTCAAAGTAATTAATCAATTAAGAAAATAGTCAATATTAACAAACTATCATTAGAATTCTTTCATTTCTAATATATGCACAACTACATTTTTGTCGATCACCACTGCCTTTTTCTTACAAAATACAATACGGTTTTTTAAAGTTTGGGTCAGTGAGACTTAGAAGCTCAAATACTGTCTCTTTAAATGGCTCTAACACATAATTAGTAAATGCTGGAAACTAAGGAAATTTTGTTCCAAGGAGTTAAATGATAAAAATAATTTAGGCACAATGACGATTTATTTAGAAAGGAGTAACTTTGAACATGAAATCGTAACACAAAAGTCATAGCGTAGCCTCGTGTCACATAGGTCCGAGTAATAACAATGCTTCCCTCAAAGGTGTGTTTCCTCAAGTTACTTTGTAAACCAAATGCCTGCACCAAAATACTGAAGGCAGAGTCCAAGGCACCAAGAAAGGATGTGCAGAACACATCTTGTCTAAGTACAGTGGCTTCAAACAGCAGACATGTATTATTTCTCACGTTCTGTAGATTCATCTGGAGATTGTTTCAGTCTTAGCTGGTCTACTGGGGCTTAATGGATGAGGGTGGTCTCACCCATTACTGGGATGCTGGGACAGGTAGGGTCTCTCTCCATGTGCTCTCTCATTCTCTCTGATTATATGGTGGGAGAAGGGTTCTTAGCAGCAAGAGAGGATTGGTGACAAGGGGCCTCTGCTTGCATCACAGATGCTAATGCCCCACTGGCCAAATCAAGTCACTCCATCAGAATTAGATTCAAATGGGACATGGAGCAACGTTACACTGTAAAAGGGTATATACATGTAGGGATGGGAGAAATTTGTGGTAGGGCCATTTTGAAATCTGACAAAACATTCTAAAACCAAAGGCAAAATTCACTTGGATTTCAGCTATGTTTCCAACTAGAGGACTGAAAAATAGAGAACTTAGCATGAAGAACACACTTACTCCATTTATTTCCTCAGTTTTGCTAGGTTTCTTAGGAAACTTCTACCATCAGAACCACAGTCTCTACTAGAGCATAAAGACATAAGAAAAACATGATCATCCAGCTAAGAAGGCAGAGAATTTCCAGGAATGTTTACCAAAGTCCCCAGATACAGCATGGTGTGAGAATGGCATCAGACATTAGTATTCAATTGGAAATAGTTCCAAATCTGTTTTACACATACAAATAACTCACAGGGTGGCCATGAACAAGCACCTCCTCTAGAATCGGGCTCAATTTATAGGAGCTGTTTTGAACTATTTTCCAAAATATAAATTCTAATATTTTTAAAATCCAAAAGTAATCATATGATGCTGCTAATGATAAAGCCCATTATGGGATATTACTGTCTTTAGTATTCACTCAGTTATTTTACTAAATAGATTATGCAAAGCGATGATAATGTCTATAGATATCATATATTGCTCTTGTCACTTGCAGGATCATTTGTTCAATCTTGTGTCATCTGATGACTCAACAATGCCTTGCACATAATCAGTTATGAGCTCAGCTACCATATCATCTCCATTGTTGGTCTGGTGGAGTACATGTCACAGTTTAGCACTTGTTTTAAATTTATGTGTAAAATGTTCTGTACCAAGGACTTTTAGCATTCTATAAGAAAATTCAATTTGGATAAGAGTTGCTTACAGATGCAATTTTTTTATATCACCAAAAAGTAAATAACATCATTTGATTTCAATTAAATAAAGTGACACTAAAATCTTTGTAAGCAAAAAATGCAACAATAGAGATACATGAGGATGGAAATTTACAGGCACACCATCACTTATGCTTTAGGAAGCATTGTAATGAGTGCTGGCTGCCGCAATCGCATTCCTTAAAACGAAGAACAAACTTTACTCACTAAATTCATGACAGCAAGGAATGGTGAAAAATTGCACTGCTTTACAGTATCTAATTGAAAGCATACTGGAGTCAGACAAGAGCTGAATTCAGATCAGGACTCAGAAAATATATAACACCTGAAAAACAGGTACATGCTTGCCAGAGGGTATTGTTATGTGAGAATAGAGTGATTAGATCTCTAAATGACTCCCATTGTTTAATTCAATTCAATTTAATATATTCTCCAAATGCCTCTGGTATTTTCAGTAATTTTCCTTAGCTACTGTAAGGAACAGAAAGTCAAGGAACAGTCACTGTACAAAAGGTATAAAATTTCCAATGAAATATGGGCCACACATCACAGTATCACTCTCCAACTTTTTATTTAGGTTTAGCTGTTACTAGTACTCACTAATGAAATACGACCAAAATCAATGTGTGCCACTTTAGGGTAAAGGCTTTTAAAAAGAGAGTGGGCCTCCTTTGTCACCATATTCACTCTCCTGCTTATTGGATATGATGAAAATAAGGCAATGGGGAATTGAAAACGTAGAGGGAATCCAGTAAGTTTCTCAAACATTTCTTGGAAGAAACTTGACAACCAACTCAGAACACATTTTTGAAAACTAAGCCATGATATAATTTTTTTTATTTTACCTGTTGCCACAGCCTTCATATCCTAAGAAATCATCCGTCATTCAACGACCTTCGCCAGAATCCTACCACATTCACTGCTTATATTACCAATAATTGAAAGCTTTCTTTTCTTTTTTTAACATTTTTTGTTGATTTATAATCATTTTACAATGTTGTGTCAAATTCCAGTGTTCAGCACAATTTTTCAGTCATTCATGGACATATACACACTCATTGTCACATTTTTTTCTCTGTGATTTATCATAACATTTTGTGTATATTTCCCTGTGCTAACAGTGTAATCTTGTTTATCTATTCTACAATTTTGAAATCCCAGTCTATCCCTCTACAAGCACAATTTCAAACACTCCCCTCTTTGAAAACCACCATCATCTTTTCAGCCTCCTCCCTTTAGTAACCGTATATTATCAACTATTTTTAAATCCTACCAAGATGTTTACTCCACTGATACTAGCACTATTTTGTGGTCCCTCAACCCCCAAATGCCCTAATTGCTCCCTTTACTCATGGTTAAATATAAGAGAATCCACTGGCTATTACCCCAAATCCCTTGCCTCTATCACTTTGACATAGCTTTTTAGTTAAACCATGATTCTGGTTAAATTTGGGTCCGCACATACTGTCTGCTCTCATATAGCTGAATGTGGCACAAAACCATGATAATCAGTCTCTCTAAATCCCATCACTAACTTTGGGTAGGTCCATAATGGTGACACAGTCATACTACATTTCTGAAATCTATCCACTCCCTTTTCTTTTCAAATGTGCAACATCAAAACCCATTCGCTCCATGAAAAGGTGTTATTTCTTACTTCACGGAGAACACTGAGCCATCAGGAGAAAACCTCCCAAGATATCACCACCACTCACACGTCCAGCAGCTCTACACACGTAGTTTGCTTGCTTTCTTGTGGCTATGGATACAATGCATGTTCCACCACCCAACCAGGCTGTCTGCTTGAGCACTAGATCCCAGCCTCCTTCCCCATGCACTCAGGAATACTCTAGAAATTCTTCCTTTTCTCCTTAAGTTTTTCATAGTGATTCAGTACCCCCCAAATATTAACTTATTTCTGTCTTACAAATACTGCATTGTATCCTAGCACTCCTCCAGCTCCTATTCAATTTTTTAGAATAAAATGTGTACAAATAGTTTTATTTGTTGTGTCTGATTTTAACCCCTCAATTTTTCATTCATTCCAGTCACAATTCTACCTCCCACTGCAACTGTTTTTATCGACAAAATCCCTGACACTGTGAAATCCCATGATCCTTCTCAGCCTTCTACTCTTGTGACATACAAGCATAACAAAGCCCTTCTCACCCTCCTGGAACCGCTTTCTGCTCCAGGCTGTCAGGACTTCTCACTCACCTGGTTCTTCCCTGTCTTTTGTGCCTCAGTATTTTGTGTTGCTTCCTCTTCCTTCCCCTAATCACTGTTTGGAGTATCCCAGTGTTTAATTCCCAAATATCTTCAATTTCTTATCCAAACTCATGACTGAATACCTCAGTCAATCCCATGGCTTTGAAAATTATACACAAGCTATCTGTCATTTATGATGACTTATGTCCTCACTGAACTCGTGACTCAT